AACCCCCAGGTCCATGGATCGAAACCATGCGGTGCTATATGTTCCTTGGCCTTTCTCCCTGTATCCGTCCGCTTCTGGGAGCTTTTGCTCGACACCCAAAAACAACAATTTGCACTACAAACATTAGCAGCGAGGATAATAACCTTTTAAACGTGTCGTGCCCTCGCCATTCCCCTTACCATGCGTTGCAAATTTTCACGGTGACATTTACAGTACTGCATCCCCGACAAAGTGGGCTTGAGACATCTGCCGTATTTGAGCGGGTCTGCGTAAAGTGCCTTTATCATTTATTTTGACGTTGGGGCGCCCCGGAAAGCCGTATTGGCGAAAGATATGCCGATAAGGAAGGGCCTGCAACGGGAGCCGGTGGTACGGCGTAGCCGCCTACGCCTAGAGGTTCCTCTACGGTAGGCGTCGTGTTCGTGCAAGAGTGGTAGTATTATTATTATTATTATTATTATTATTAGTAGTAGTAGTAGTAGTACTAGTAGTAGCACTAGTAGTAGTAGTAGTAGTACTAGTAGTAGTAGTAGTAGTAGTAGTAGTAGTAGTAGTAGTAGTAGTAATAGTAGTAGTAGTGGTAGTAGTACTGCTGGCTGGCATTCACTGATTTGCACTCCCCCGCATATTTATTTCTCTTACCTCCGGCTTCTTAGAAGAGGGATATTAAACCCGTAGAAGTAGGGATTACGGACGCTTCCCGGGACAGTATATATTTTAAGATACAAATTAGCTAAAAGCTTTGCGAATGCGACACAATCTGCAGTGCAGGTCGTACGCTACACGTTGACAAGGCTAAGCTAAACCTGTTACACGTAACGAACTTGCTCTGCATTCTTTTAAGCCAGAACAGCTGATGCATGCACACTGTTCGCGCGTTTCCGGAATCAGGCGATCTTCTGTTTGCGAGAGGGGCACACAAATATCTCTGATCCTTCTGAACGGCCTTTGAGCAGGGGCATCAAGACGAATATGATTCGTTGCCCTCACTCTCTGAGCTTGAAAACTTCGGGTTGCTGGGCACGTGGAGCCAATGACGTCGAGCAGTTGAGGATCTAGAGGCAGTCCGGTTGCGTGTGTCTACGTTTCACCGATTAGAGGAGGAACTGAAACAGAATAATCCTATCCAGGGTGCCTAACAGAGGCAGGCTCTCTCTTACCCTCTAAGTTTAACGCCCCAGGCTCACCTAAATCAACAAGTGAAGAGAAGCAGGTAAACACACATTGCTTGCGCTCGTAAGAAGGCTTTGGAGGAAGTCAGGAGTTGGAAGTTCTGCACTGCAAGCAACCCGGTATACTACTGCACGGCCTAGGACATGCTGAGTACAGCTCTGTTCGGGGTGGATAGCTTTTTCTATCTCGGTACGCGGACGGGTGCTGAGTTCGTTCGTCCCGGCTAGCACTTTAATTGTGCGACTTAAACTTCATGTTACGCTGCCCAGAATTTCGATTCCTCTACATGACAGATAGCTCCTGCATAAAAGCATGCAACATTCCTATACTTGCTGGCATTTCAATGTGGAAAGGGGGATGCAAATGCAAGCGTTGCATCTGCCTATCGGGAACCAGGCTTTGTCCGAAGAACACATAATCCGGCTTCTGATAGGTATAACCTTCGTTGTAACAAACGCTTAAAAGTCATCGTTTCAAAAGCAAACAAAAATTTCAGGTACATAACTGGAGGAAGATGGCAGACATCGACACTCGACAATAGCGTTTCCGTTAACACGCTTCGCAGCAGCTCGGACAGTTCATACTGCAGTGAATATAATATAATACTATAACTGCAATCAACATAATTTAATATTCCCAATAACTTTGCAAGTGTAATTTATTCTTCCCAACGAAGGTTGCTAAGCACCTCTCCTCCGACTGGTGGGGCGCAAGGCGCGTCTCAATGCCAGGCCGAGCTGAAACCGCAGCATTGGGAAGCATTGGTTGGGGGCTTAGAAAATTGAACAACCCAGAAATCCCCATAGGCACTGTTATTTGATTTATCATCCTGCACATATAATCTTCAACAGTGATGCAGACGCATTTGCAGCGGGCTGGACCGTGCTTGCTTTCCGTTCTGCACGTTAACCGTAATATCGCGATGCTTGCTCCCGGCTCAGCAGGGGAACGATAATATTAGTAGCACTGAGTGGCAAAGCTCGAGCCACTGGAATACAGCGTATAAGGGTACATATACACAAATACTTGACTTAAATTGTGGTTATGTCCCGATTTTGTGGCGGGGGAGTGTACGAGAAGTGCTGTCGGCAGTCTGTCTAAGGAACCATTGGTTTCCTAGCGCTGACGGTTCATTGCTGCTGCTCTTCCGACAACATTTCGCATATATCTTGTTAAGGCTGCGCTGAGGCATCTGAAACAGGTTAATGTCTTTCTCTGCGCACGACGTGTAGAACTGCAATGCTTGGGCAGACGGAGGCATTCCCGCAAAACGAGTGGGCGGGCTTGCCCCTTAGAAGTAATGGAGAAGAGACGCGGTTGTGGGACTTTGTTGACAGATCACCAGCACAATGGATAAAGGATAATATACGCAGCAGAGGCCTCAGCTTGCCACCCAGGAGAGATCGACAACAGAGGCGCAGACAGGCTCTGACATTGATGGCATTTGGTACCCTTGCAGTAACTTATGCGGTCCTCCGATGTGCTATTCAACGATTCCCCAATAGGAAGGCAGGCGATGAACCGAGGTCTCTCGTTGGGGGAAAGCGGGTCCAAGCACCGGAGGCTTGCTTGGGGGTCCGGGGTTCTGGGTTTGAGAAGCGAGGCGCGCGGAGTGAAAAGCCGTCAGATGAGGAGTTACAACATAGGGCTTCGGGCTTTATGAACTCGTTCGTGAGGATCATGAAGGCCAACGAACCTGTGTTGGCTCAAATCCCTGTGCATAAGCGGAGTAAAATTCTCTCACTTCTCCTCACCCTGGTTGTGCAAGAGTTGGCCGCATTAGCAACAGTTTTAGACGACTCTTCACGGGATACTCTAGTACAAACGGTTCGAGAGGTGGGCATCGTAACGAACCGCTTAGGAACGACAATTACTAGAAGGACGGGAGGAGCTTGTTCGCGCCGCCTTCAGCTTTTCCTCGGCAAGGTTCTTCGACGCCTTGAGCTGTCAGGGCCTCAAGGTTCACTTTTGCCTCGCACCGAGCGTCTTCAGAAGCTAAGTGACCTCCTCCGTTTACAGGAAGTGATGCTGGTGAATCTTAGAGAGGTGTTCGACGACCTTGTGAAGGGGTTTTCCGCCGGGGGCGATCCCAGTGATGACGACTTGAACGCAGCGAAAGATAAACTGGGTGATTTGCTTCACGTTAGGAAGGAACAGATATTTCTGGATCCTCAACTCAGTTGGTGGCTGCTTGACGGCGAAAACCAAACCAAGCGTTTCGCTGTTGCCTCGTCAGCTCATGTCCAGCTCCTTCGTCAAAGACGACCCCCGACTGTTGAGGAGATGATCGAGGAGCTGACGACTCTTTCAGCCAGACGGCGTGAACAACGCGTAATAAGCCAACAGTCAACACTAGCGGATGCGTCAGAGGCCTACGCCCCTGAACGTGCTGACCTGACATCCTCAGGAAGTGGCTCGCAGGCAACTGAACTGCCCAGGGGTCTCTTTACAGATCCGCTGATGTCTGGTCAGCTCTTCCAGGTGCCAAACGTCTCTGGCCAACGCTTTGTTCTAGGTAATTCAATGTCAGGTGCATGGGAGGGAAGGCGATCTGCGTTTTCCCGACAAATACAAAATCAACAACGGAGCAACGAAACATTTCCGTCTGCTAGGCACCGTAACCAAGTTGCTGCAAGGTCTGCTGAGTTTTCGCCACCTCACCGTTTTCCTAATATGTCGCTTCATGCGGTAAGCACACACTGTCCTCTCATCGCTGGCGTCCCCCATACACACTGAGTATATGTTTAACCAACTTTTGCCGTGCGCTGGTAATCTCTCCACATTTTGTGCTGTTGCGATTGCAGTGGTCTTCGGTGGATGCACGCAACTTGACCAGAGGCTACAACCGCGAGGAGCCTTTGGAGGACGTCTTCTTCGGCGCAGCGTTAGGAGAGCCCACTCCGATGGCAGAAACCCAGGAGAGCAATGCGGAAGAAGCCATCTCTAGCCCTTTCAGTTTACCTGACATGTTTGACTACCTGAGAGGAAGGCTTAGCACGTCACCTTGAACAGACATCTTTCTGGAAGAGTTATCTGCTGCATGTACTGAATGTGCAGTAATTGCATGTTAACGTGACCGACCTGAGCTTCTCAGCAGGAGAACAAAAGGCTTTTGAATATTTATAGCCGAGTGACAGGTGGAGCGTGGATAGAAAGACTGCTTGGAGATTTTCACGATATCCCGGATGGTACAGGCCCGCATTCCCCAGTGCAGACAATTTTTCGGGCACTGTACTACACGGCTGGCAGCTTTTGTTTGTAGCATTAGGGCGGTGCGTGATGTTTATATTCGAATGAGCAAGGGGGCAGTTTGCTCCTGCAGTTTTCTCAGGTGTGCAGGACTGTCCGTTGCGGATAATCAGAGCTCCGGAGTGGGGAATGTGCATTAGGTTTGGTCAATTTACATGATAAGACGTATTAGCATCAGCTTCCCGGAAGTTGCAATTGCCACTGCGGCTGCTGGTAAACAGCCAGCGACCGTGAACCTCAGGGGGCAAGAAGCCCACCACCTCGCCTGAGCATCGCATTTCCCCACTGGAGTTTATGCTTTATGTATCGTACAGCAGGATGAGGGCTTCAATCGGCCATCACAGTCGTTAGGCACAATAAGCGCAAATATCTCCTGCTACCCTCGAGTCCAACAGGTGCTGTCAGCAAAAATCTGTCACTTTCATGCTGCACGCGTCATCGAATAGTGCACTTAGAGCTTCAGCGTCCGTTGTATCACTTTGCTTATTCGCAGCGTCGTGTGGATATATGAGGAAAGGGGTCTGAGGACGACCCCTTCCATCCGTGTTCTTTGGCACCTGCTAGAGGAGCGCAGTAGAGTTCTGTGTTTCCGCACCTACGCTGGAACTGCCTATTTGGCATCTTTAGACATCCGGTGCGGACAGAAAGGTGGGTGTCCACTGAACTGTTTTCTTAAAATTCGTCCTTTTTCCTGCTGAATTCACGGTTACACTGTAGCCTAACCGGATATGTTCACAGTTCTCGCCTACAATGCCAGATATAGGGCCATTTACAGCCTAGCCCACTCCTGCAATGTCCGGCTGGACAGCACTCCGAGGCTGTAACACGGCTGTCTCTATACGCGGGGCTTTGATGGCTGCTCCGAGAATTTAGCAGCCAGTAATAGGTCTTAGTGCTGTGCATAGATAAGCCCGATGGGCGTGCTCATCTACGTAGGGGAGGAGGGCATTTCTGTTGGATACCAGTACACTAAATAGTAAGTAGTCCATGAGCAGCTGCGACAAGGGTGGGGGGGGGGNGGGGGGGGGGAGAACTGAACATACTAGTTTGGAATTACTGTAGGCTACATGAGCTAGTAGGAGCAACGTTGCCTACGGAGAACAACAATATGCAACGAAGCCTGGCCCGCTAAGGTATTACGTGTTTCGGCAGCGGTTGGCGTTTTGGGTACGTTGGCATACCAGTGCAGGCATCAAGTATTCACAGACGATGAAATTACTTGCTGACTGCTTGAAACCACGGATAGCGGTAGGCATTATGGAGTTGTTACGAGCGTCCTTCTTAACTACATATAGAAGCAAAGCATGGCGCCTTACTGCGCCCAATAAGGATAGCTTTTCAGCGGCAGGTCATTTAAAAAAAGATTGAACAGACGTAACTTCAGGAAAGGGATACCATGGTTACGGAGCAGCCAGCTTCAGCTGCAGGTAGTTTAGTTTCTAGCCTTGGTTACCGTGTGGTCAGGTGGAAAACGACGGCGCCGCAACAGAAAAGTGATGTAAAACTCTGTATCAAAGAAGCTATTGTATACTTTCAGCATACGTGGGGTGGGCTGGACTCAGACAGATACAAAATTCGAATTCCTTTCGAATGAACCTCTAATAGAAGTACAGATCGAGTGGCACTTCGGAAAATTAAATGAGGACTGGGGACCGTTGCAGTCGGCACTGGGTTTCTGAAGTACTTGCTGCAGGGAGAGGATGACGCAGTATATCATTCGAGGACTACCGTTCAATTCAACATCCACAGGGAGAAATGAATAACTTGTCTACAAAAACGCACACACTAATGAGGAAATGTTGGTAGCATGTGCAAACAACAAAGTAGCTTGGCCGGGCGAGTTCTCTGGGATATGATTTCTGATGCCTTATGCAGAAGCGGAACGCCGATATCCTTCAACGCTGAATAATATACGTGAAGTGTTCAACTGCTACTCATCCACGATCAGTAGCGCAAACCCACTGGGACGAAACTCTGAGATAATTGCTCCTCTGCAGGCTCATGTAGCTACCTTGTCGGTGTGAAATGCATCTACGCCTATGGAAAAATAACGACATTTGCGTATAAAAGCATTGACTGCTTCTTTTTCGATGTCCCTCTAGGGTCCACCAACGGTCACCCCGTGGGGTGCCTCTCCTCCCTTGCCCATTGATGCCTGTGCAGCAGTTGCATTAAATTAGCTGTGGTTCCATATTCTGGCATCCGAGTATACAAGGAATTTTAGCCAGTTAAATGCACTAACAATTGTAGCAGTTCACCTCGCTCCGTCATCGCCTGCACTTGGGGTGAAGTCACTGGGGGTCAAGATTATGCGCATCAGTGATCCTCAAAAACCCCTTAAGTATCAAATGTTATAATGTTTTCGGTAGTGCTAAATTTTGTTTACTGATGTTTTTTGAGCGTGCAGGGTAACAACTCAACACCTGAGCTACCTGAACACCTTCGGCGGTCCACTGGTTCCTCCAACGCCTGCATCTCGATAAGCACCCAAGGGGCTCCCTGCACATGCAGTAAAGGTCTTACTCGTTTGTTCTGTTTTCTTTTTTTGCGAGAAGTGAAGTTATTTGCCTTATTTTGTGCTTCAAAACAGTGGTAATCCTGACCGCGGTGACGCTGTTGGAAAATTTGTTCCTCTTCCCTTTGCAAGACCTTATGAATGCTCTACAGGGTTATGGGTATCTTAGTGCTTAGAAACCGTACAAGTGGAAGTGGTATTCAGCATATCTCTGCTCCACGACTCAATGGCTTCTTCAGTGATCTCCAATCGACCGTTGTGCATCGCCGCCAGGGAATCAGCGTGTAGAACTGCAAAGCAAATGTAGTGTGGCGCGATGGTCGGTGTCGCATGTTGCATCGGGTTCTTGTGTTAAGTACCTTTGTTGAATTGTCCGTCAAAGTTAAGAAGGTTGAGGACCGTTCTCCTATTTCACTTCCGGTCAGAATAACTCCCGGGTCATATATTTACTGCTGTCTAATCACCTCGTTTAGAGCATCGTTGAAGCATCAACTTGTCGCGGCAGTCAGGCCTTATTGTCTTGCCTGGAGAAGTTTGGGCTCCACCTGCGACAAAGCTCAGTTGATGCTGTCCGGCACGGTGTATGAGGGGAAGAACCAACTGCAATGGAGGAGAGACAAGATGGAACGGCAGCAGATGAGGCGTTCGATTGGCTTCCTAGAAGCGATGAAGGAAGGGACCCTGCAGGATATCTTACCGACGTGCTCGGGCGGGCAGGTGGAGAGCTTACATACCGTTCCGCTGCGCCCATGTTTCGGGTGCCCTTAAAGCGCAGAAGCCGAGGATACTGGGCTCATTTTAATGGGCGAACCATGGCCCTTGCGTTCCTGGCTATGCTTGCGGCGGTGTTTGTAGTACTGCGCTGCGGCTTTCAACTCGACCGTGCAAGCAACGTAGGGAAGGGGTTAATTAGGGGTCTTGCCGAAGGTGGGGAGGGGAGTTCTAGTAGTGTCTGCAAAGACATATTGCAAGGGAATCAAGAAGGACACGGCAACGAGGAGGAAGCTATACCTACAGAAAAAGACTTGCACAACAAGGCGGCTCGTATCCTTGGTTCATTTGCGAGGCTTGTACGCGACTACGAACGACTACTGGGTTCGACGTCCATCCTTCGGGCAAGGAGCGGCGTCAACCTCCTTCTAGCATTCGTCGTTCAGGAGCTGGCTGCCTTAGCCGTCATCGTAAACGAAGACTTTTTGCCTGTTGTAAGGCGGACGGCCAATGAGATACACTGTGCAGCACAACGTTTAACCCAGATGGACGGGGCACCACTTGGCAGCCTAAGGTTACAGCGTCGCCAGAACGCCTATGCGAGACTCCTAAGACTGCTTTCGAACACTCCTACGTTGACTCCCCGTATTCCTGAAAATATGCGTTGTAGGAAATTATATGAACTTCTGGTCTTACAAGAGTCGGGGATTTTTAAGGCTCGTGTTGCCTTTGACGGTCTTGTGAGTTGCGTTGCCCTCGGTAGGACTTGCAGAGTCTGGGAGGAATCCTTTACCCTGTTATTCAGGGTATACCACCGCCGTAAGCAGCATATTTTTGCGGATAACCACCTTAATTGGTGGTTAGTTGCACACAATCCAACAAACAAACACCACGCTCTTGCTTCACCAGCATTTCTCGATAACATGAAGGGTCAAAAATTGGCACCTTTCAGAACTCTCCAAGCTGATTTGTTGGGCCTTGATGGCGTCTCATCTCGAAACCGAAAAATACAGGAAAGTCTTGATTCTACTGGGCAAACTACTCAGGACGATGAGGATGACGACATTGCCAGAGAGTCGACGTCTTCAGAGGCCGAGGGGCAGGAAACAAGCGATCCACAACATCACCAACGGCGCCAACTACCTACACACAGTTTGCCGCAGCAGCAGCCACAGCTGCAACAGACGCAGTCGAATCAGCAACAGACAAACCAGCAGCCGCTGAAACAGCAGCAACAACCGAGTCAACTGATGCAGCAGGCACAGCAACAACAACTGCATCAGCAGATGCAGCAGCAGCATCAAACGCAGCAGCGCCAGGTGCAGCAGCAGCTACTACAGCAGCTGCAGCGGCCGCTGCAGCAACAGCCCCAGCAGCAAATGCTGAAGCAAAGGGAGGATCAGATGCAGTTACAGCTACAGAAACAACTGCAGCATCAGGTGCAGCAACAGCCGCAGCAAAGTCTGCAGCAACAGCTGCAGCAGCACCTGCAGCAGCACCTGCAGCAGCCGGCGCAGCGGCAGCTACAGACACAAAAGCAGAACCTCCAGCAGCAGCAGCAGCAGCTGCTTCAGCAACAACGGCGCCAGCAACAACAGCAGCAGCACCAACAGCTGCAACAGCAACAGCTGCAGCAGCAACAGCTGCAGCAGCAACAGCTGCAACAGCAACAGCTGCAACAGCAACAGCTGCAGCAGCAACAGCTTCAACAGCAACAGCAGCAACAGCTGCAGCAGCAACAGCTGCAACAGCAACAGCTGCAGCAGCAACAGCAGCAACAACAGCTGCAGCAGCAGCAACAGCAGCATCAGCACATGCAGCAACAGCAACAGCTTTGGCAACAAGCGCAGCCGCAACAACCACATCCGCAACAGCCGCAGCAGCTACAGCTGCAGCAGCATCAGCTTTGGCAACAAGCGCAGCCGCAGAAACCACACCCGCAACAGTCGCAGCAACAATGGCTGCAGCAACAACAGCAGCAGCAGCAACAGCTTCGGCAACACGCGCAGCAGCAACAGCCGCAGCAGCAACAGCGGCAGCAGCAGCAGCTGCTGCTGCTGCAGCAGCAACAGCAGCAGCAGCAACAGCTTTGGCAACAAGCGCAGCCGCATCAACCACAGCAGCAACAGCTGCAGCAACAACGGCAGCAGCAGCAACAGCTGCAGCAGCAACAGCTGCAGCAGCAACAGCTGCAGCGGCAACAGCAACTGCAGCAACAGCTGCAGCAGCACCAGCAGCAGCAGCAACAGCTGCAGCAGCACGCGCAGTGGCAGCAACCACAGCAGCAACAGCAGCAGCAGCTACGGCAGCAGCAGCAACGGCTGCAGCAGCAACAGCTGCAGCGGCAACAACAACTGCAGCAACAGCTGCAGCAGCCACAGCAGCAGCAGCAACAGCTGCAGCAGCACGCGCAGCGGCAGCAACCACAGCAGCAACAGCAGCAGCAGCAACGGCAGCAGCAGCAACAGCAGCAGCAGCAACAGCAGCAGCAGCAACAGCTGCAGCGGCAACAACAACTGCAGCAACAGCTGCAGCAGCAACAGCAGCAGCAGCAACAGCTGCAGCAGCACGCGCAGCGACAGGAACAACATCCGCAACAGCTGCAGCAGCATGCGCAGCCGCAGGAAGCGTACCCGCAACGGCCGCAGCAGCAACAGCTCCAGCAACGGCTGCAGCAGCTACAGCTGCAGGAAAAAGAGCCTTGGCTACGCGTACAGCCACAGCAACCACACCCACAACGGCCGCAGCCGCAACAGGTGCAGCAGCAAAAGCAGCAGCAGCAACGGCTGCAGGAGCAACAGCAGCAAAGGCCTCAAGGTCAACACCTGCAGCAGCAGCAACCACAGCCGCAACTGCCGCAGCCGCTGCCGCGGCAGCAGCTGCTCCAGCAGCAGGGGGGGCAGCAGCAAGATCTACAACAGAAGCAGGTGCAGCAGCAGCGAGCTAGTGCTAGTGCTGTGAGTACGGTACAAAGTATAGACCCAAATATTTGGCAAAGCCCTGCCGTTGCGCCTGTACTGCCGCCTCCACCGGTGGCGCCTCCCCCAGGGTTTGCCTCTGTTGTGCCAGTCCCTCCCTTTCCTTTGTCTGTGCATCTTCCTTTGTTGGTACTTCCTCCTGTCAGTTCGTATACACCGGTAGTGGAGATACCCACATATGAAGTATACGTGCAACAGGATTCCTCACGTAAAGGTCCGTCTACCGGCAATTCAGGTTCAACAGGGGGCAGCTCACAACAGAGCCGTACAGGCCCTCCACCTTCTTCAGGGCCTGCTGCAGGGGGGGCCAGGGCTGCTGCCAACACAGATCGAGCAAATTTGGGTAGCTCAGAAGGAACTTCCGCGGGTTCCAACCCCTTTTCACTTCCAGATATCGGGGCACATGCAAGACGGCCCCTCGCAGCTGCAGCACGGAAAGCCGGCAGTGACAAACAGGCCCGTTGAAGAGAATATGAGAAACCCTCATCTCAGGAATATATCCTGAAATCGGGATATACTTTTACCAGCTTGGATGACTGTTTCATACAGTCTCGGAGGATATAGTGAACCCTCATCCCAAAGGGATGAGGGTTCTTTATGTGCGCCTCGTTACGCGCATAAAGCCAAATTATGCAGCTTCTGTTTTAGTTACTACTAATGTAGTCGTATGCGGACGGCGCAGATTGGCAGGAAAGTCATGTGCACCTGTGTCCATCTCTCGAGTTTGTGTTCGGGAACAGTATTTTTTGTTTGCTGAAGTGACGTGCACTGCATATGGCAATCAAGGTTTAATAGGTTAACTGCGCCGGCTGTGCATGATCGTTTCCTTAGATGCTCGCACATGCCCAGATTCACAGCCGAAGGAAACCCGGCGCCCCTCTACCCACCCTCCTTTACTCCGCTGAGTAAGGGAGGGTGGGTAGAGGGGCGCTGGGATACTTTGCCGCATGTTGTAGAGCGAAAAGGAGTAACAACTTACGTCTAAGCACTTCTCGGGAGTTTTCCAACTCCTTAGAGCTTAGGCGACAAACCGACGTCGCAACCTATAGTGAACCGAAACCTGCGCCACTGATGATCGCTGAGCCAATATGACTTTGCGTGGCGTTCTTTTTCTGAACTCTTTGAGAGCTTTGAACCATGCAAGTATAGAATGTCGGGTGTAATGGTCTGTCGTTTGAGCGAGCGCCACGCAGGATGTAATAGTTTAGCTCACTGACGTTCGATCAGCCCTGTCAGCTGCATCTCTGACGGTAATACAGATATTACATGAAAGTGTTCATCCGTGTGTCGATGATTGGATACTATTGAGCCACTGTATAGCGGTGCCTTGTTGGGATGGTGTTGTCCCATATATAAAAAATAGAAATAGTGGGAACGGATGGTTGGTATTGAATCATTCGGTCGCCTTATGCTCACTACTGAGTGTAGTTCAACGTAGTAAAAGTAAAGTGGTTTTATGTTCTCCAGCCTGGGAAACATACCCAGTCGCAAGAGTGGAGATGCACAGTTTTCCCTGCGGACACTGATAAACGGCTGCTTGTAAGTATAAAACAAAGCCATGCGCCAGCGTGTCAAATCCCTAACTCATTATTATATGCTTTTTCTTTAGACGCGCGATTGAGCAATGTCTACAGGAGTAATGGCAACGCTTACACTATGGTACACGCCCGCCGATAGACACTTTCTTCTTCCTTCGTTCAGAGGTGCATTCAAGGCGCAACACTAGCCATCGCCAAAGGTGTACGATGCTGCTACTTTCGTCGTGCAAATACAACATTCCCCTGGAAAACCCTCGCGATCAATGCTTTATTTTATGTTTCACGGCTACTTTCGACGGCATCCTGTACGAAATTGGCAGATGCACTTCTACTGCGCGCTGGATACCTACCAATAGACACGTGGGCGTTCAACAATTATCTACTGTGCTCGTGCATTCAACAAAGGGGTCTTGCGTGAACTTGTATGTAGGGGTTCCGTGCACCAGTAGATGCAGCAAGGTGAGTTGCAACTGATGTCAGGCTGAAATGTACACTGGTGCTCCTATCTCGTCCATTGTTCCCCTGAAGAACTTGGGCTTTCAACAAGTACAGCTTTCTTGTATCAACCACATCAGCGGTACGCAGCACGCCTGAAACGGCTGTGGGGGATCTGGCTTCGCTAATGAGGTAGAGTTCCATCCCAAGCCATAAAATACAATTGACGTCGAGAACGTATCATATATTTAAGAGAAGAATAGCTAACTAAAGATGTACACTGGTATGTACCAACCGATTACGTGCGTAGGACCGTTCCTCGATGGTTGCTAGGCATCGGGCGTGCAAATTCATGAAAAGCCGGCCAAGGCTCAAACTTAAAGGCACCCGGAGTGGTATTCGTGCAAAACATTTTAAAATATTTTTAAAAATTAGGCAATTCAACTACTGGTTTCTTTGGATCGAGAGGAATCTGTGCGTAGTGTGCGTGCAGAACACTGGGAGCATGGACCATCTCGCGATCAAGTCTCACTGGCATGTTGCAACGGGGTGAGTTTTCGGCCTTCTCTTGAATAAATACTGGTGTTTAATCCATTTTTAGAATATAGTAAAGGATTAAATGCGTAATTATTTCCCTACTTGTCTCTGGTCTCCTGGCTGCTGCAGATTTCAGGCGTGTTCAGTCTCCCGTCTCAGCATCAAAGTCAGTTGACCGGCTCTTTAACCGCAGATGTTTACCTACCAGGGTATTTAATGATGCGAAAAGCTGAATTTATGTTCGGGGGCTTTGGGGGAGAAGGAAATACAGCATATACGAGCCCCACTGGACGCTGACGCCTCCTCCTTACTGTCTTAACCATGTATCAGCAACCCATCAACGGGCTTGTTGCTTGACGACTGGATCTCACTTTCCTTCTTTCCCGAGTTAAACTGCTGTCAACTGCAATGCAGGAAACAGCTGAAGAAGATGGCCGGATGAACCTCGCTACCGGTTCGCTTTCGAGCGGCGGCGAGCAGAGTAGTGGACCTTCGTCTCTCCCAGGCAACGAACTCGCCATTGAATTTCAACGAACTCCATCTCTGCGGAGAACACAAGATGCAGTTTTTCACAAATATAACAGGCCGATCTCTCGTTTTCTGGTGCACACTCGCGTTGCCTCTCTCATCCTCGTTGTTGCATTCGCACTGGCTTGGGTCACTCTGCGTTGTGCCTTCCAGCTGGGAGCAGGAAGGTGGAGGGGAGCAGCATTTGGCCGATCGCTTGCAGCTGGAGGCGGAGAAGATGAAGGCTCTTCCCTTTGCAGCTATGCACCTGAGGAGCAAGCACATGCACCAGGCCCGGCAGCACCAGTTGGGTATGCATTCGATGCGCACAGATTGCTGGGGCGTGCCGCTCTCGTCGTAAAAACATTCCAGCATCTGACAGAGCAAGCGGAGAATCCCCTGTTGGGCGTCACGGTGTATGACCGGCACAGGGCAACTACTCTTCTGTTGACTTTGATAATCCTGGAGCTCTCGGCGGTGACGGCGCTTGTTGGAAGTTCCCTGGATGATATGCTGAAATCTACAATATCTTTAGTTGATCAGGTGATGCTGAATGTCAGTGAAACCCTTTTAGGGGGAAGAATAAGAAATGCAGATTCAAAATACACCCGGCTACGCGTGATCCTACAGAAACTAGGGAAAGCAGAACACCCACCGCCTGACTTGCCAGAGGCAGAGCGTATGCGTAGGCTGCATGAGCTGCTTGTTCTGCAAGAAACAGCTCAGCAGCAGACGTCTGTTGTTATTCAGATGATGAAAAATGCATTTAATAATGTGGGTGAAATCGATAGAAATACCCTTGATGCTGCTCTCAAGCTCCTCACCCACGTTGCGTATGCACGCAAGAACCAGGTGATGCGAGATTCAGTGCTGCGCAGCTGGTTGCTAGAAAACGAAAGCAGTAGAGATCATTCTCCTCTTATTCCCAAATCTTACCTCAGACACATATTGAATGAAGAGCAGCCGTCCTTTGAGGACCTTATGAAACAACTCACCGACCCCTCTCTGCCCTGCGCAACACTACAAAAGGGAGCACCCGCACCCGAGAAATCACCACCTAGAGTGAAACAGCAGACAAACCAACCCCAGCCATCCGCATCAGCAACACGAGCACCACCAGCAGCAGCAGCAGCAACACCACCACCACCACCACCGGCAGCAGCGGCAGCAGAAGAACAGCAAGTGGAGGGGCAGCAGCTTCCTCAAAGCAGCAAACGAGAAACACCCGGCATCGCATCACCCGGTCCCAGCAGCTTACAAATACAGCAGCATTCGCTATCGCCACCAGAACAGAGGGAAACCTCTCCCCATGCATTGCTGCAGCATCCTTCTGCAACAACTGAACAAACTCAAACTGCAGAAGAAAAACAAAACAAACCAACAGAAACCCTCGATACAACATCGGCTTCATCTACTTGGCTAAGTTCCCAGAGAGCTGCACCGCCGCCGCGCCAGCTGCCGGTGCCAGTGCGAGAGGGGTTCCGCCCCCCGCAGTGGGCCCCCCCCACCCAGCAGTGGGCCCCCCCCACCCAGCAGTGGGCCCCCCCCACCCAGCAGTGGGGGCCCCCCACCCAGCAGTGGGCCCCCCGCCCCCCGCAGTGGGCCCCCCGCCCCCCGCAGTGGGTCCCCCCCCCGCAGCGGGGGCCTCCCCCCTCGCAGCTTTCGCCAGAAAGCAGAGAAAGGCTTCAAGA